CCTCATCTCGTGTCCGTACTGCTTACCCCTGAGGGAGACCCGGATGCACTTGACATCCCGACTCCGCGCTCTTACGCGGAGGCGATAGACGGTCCCTACTCCTCTCAGTGGCAGGCAGCTATGGACACAGAGATGGCTTCCTGGAAGTCCACAGGTACCTACATTGACGAGGTTCCCCCGCCTGGGGCGAACATCGTCAGTGGCATGTGGATTTTCAGGGTGAAGCGGCCGCCGGGTTCTCCGCCTGTCTTCAAGGCGCGTTACGTGGCTCGTGGCTTCAGTCAGCGGCAGGGAGTTGACTACTTTCAGACCTTCTCTCCCACCCCGAAGATGACCACTCTTCGGGTACTGCTGCACATAGCTGCTCACCGCGACTACGAGCTGCACTCTCTTGACTTCAGCACTGCTTTCTTGCAGGGCAGCCTGCACGAGGAGATCTGGCTGCGTCGCCCACCTGGCTTCACTGGGTCTTTTCCTCCTGGCACCCAGTGGAGCCTCCGGCGGCCAGTCTTCGGTCTCCGCCAGGCACCGCGTGAGTGGCACGACACACTGAGGACTACACTTGCGGCTCTTGGGTTTGCTCCCTCTACTGCCGACCCGTCGCTGTTTCTGCGCACCGACACTTCTTTGCCGCCGTTCTACATCCTCGTGTACGTCGACGACTTGGTCTTTGCCACAGCTGACACTGCTGGACTCGCCCACGTGAAGTCCGAGCTGCAGAAGAGACACACGTGCACAGACCTGGGTGAACTGCGCAGCTACCTTGGCTTGCAGATCACCCGGGACAGAGCACGCCGCACCATTACCCTGACTCAGTCACACATGGTGCAGCAGGTCCTTCAGCGCTTCGGCTTCACGTACTCCTCGCCTCAGGCCACTCCTCTGCCTACTCGCCACTCGCTCTCAGCTCTGCCTTCGGATGAGTCCGTAGAGTCGAGTGGCCCAGAGCTTGTTGGCTGCCTCATGTACCTGATGACCTGCACACGACCTGACCTCGCATACCCTCTTAGCATTCTCGCACGCTATGTTGCTCCTGGGAGACACAGACCGGAGCACATGGCTGCAGCGAAGAGGGTGTTGCGTTACTTGTGCAGTACGTCGGGCATGGGGCTTGTGCTTGGAGGGCAGAGTCCAGTGGTCCTCACTGGGCACGCAGACGCTTCTTGGGCTGACGACCAGGCTACGCAGCGGTCGTCACAGGGTTACACCTTCAGCCTTGGTTCCGGCTCTGTTTCGTGGCGGGCTACCCGCTCGTCTTCTGTTCTCGGCTCCAGTTGTGAGGCTGAGATCTACGCCGGGGCCATGGCTGCACAGGAGCTTCGCTGGCTCACCTACCTGCTGACTGACCTCGGAGAGCCGCCTCGTTCTCCTCCAGTGCTGTACGTAGACAACAAGGCCATGCTGGCCTTGTGTCGAGAGCAGAGACTGGAGCACAGAACGAAGCACATTGCTCTCCGCTACTTCCTTGCTCGTGAGCTACAGCAGCGTGGTCAGCTGCGGCTTGCGTACGTGGCCTCTCAGGCCAACACTGCTGATATCTTCACCAAGGCAATTGCGCCTTGTGATCATCAGCGCTTCTGTACTCAGCTGGGTCTTTTGCCCACCTTGCCTCACTTGCTCACCCCTTGACCTTGTTTGTACTGATGCATATATAGATATACTCCTGCTCTTGCTTGTCTAGCCTTATATATATATGTAATCCTGCATGTGAACTGGCCTTGTGGCCTTGAACTTGTGCTCGGAATGTGTGGTGACTTTGTGATCCACCCTGAGCTTGTTTTGCTTTGCTTGACTGGTCCTGTGACCCCTTGTTCTCCCCCACTTTGCCTATGGGGGTGTGTCAGATTTATATGACATAGCTACTGTAGGCTATAGTGGGGTGGCACATATGGGGTACAGTTTTCTAGGGTTTGCTTTTTGTACCCAACTTTCACTTAGTCATTCCATTCCTCGTTTCTTCTCAGTACCCTGACCGCCCCTCTTGCCACCTCTACCTCGAGACCGCGAAGAATTCGTAACAGCAGCTGCGGTCACGTCAGTAGCAGCAGTGGCGAGAGAGGCTGTAAAGGTGGGCAGCTGAGGGACAGTGCACCCGTGGAACAGTGGAGGGGGCACAGCACCAGAGGCGGAGGCTACGGAGCGGAGGTTGCTCTCGACGTCCTTGAGCGCAGACTCAAGGACCTCGATAGTGAGCTCACTAGGGTGCTTCAGAAGAAGCGTGTCGCGGACCGAGGCAAGGCGGTCAGGGAGGCTAGTGGCGATGAAATAGATAGTAATCGCCATGGGGGGAGGGAGCAGTGCAAGCTGTGCTCAGTGCAAGCAGCGCGGTAGCTAGAATCAAGCGAGCGGAGGTGAGCAATCAAGTCAGCAGAGCGCTCAAACGAGGCGAGGTCAGGGAACAGGAACGGTAGGAAGAGTCGGCCAAGAGAGACAGTGGTGAGAGTAGCGTAGCGGGCCTTAATCGCAGTCAGGAACTCACTAGCAGTGCGAACCTGAGTGAAGTGGGCCTCCTCAGACTCAGGGAGGAGGCTGCTAAGAGCGATGCAGGCCGCAGCGTCACGCGACTTCCACGCCGTCAGGTCAGCACGCTGGCGGGTGAAGCGGTCTCTAGCTGCGTCGTCAGGGGCAGCACCCAAAGGCGTAGGGTCGTCGGGCGCTGGAAGGTCACCAGTAGCGTGCGCCCAAAGGGACTCGCCCGCCTGAACCTGATTCTCTAAGAGGCGATGCGCGCGTAGGAGCCAGACCGGAAACTCGAGCGGTCTACCGTCAGCGTCGAAGCGAAGAACCCTAGGGGTCGCCATAGTGTAAGTAGAAACGACATGTCGGGCGGTGGGTGGCACTGGTAGGGACGGTAGGCGGCTAGGGCAAGTCCGTGACGGGCGCAAAACGCGGGCGCAACGGGGCTAGGGCCGGTCCCGCGGCGGACTGAACGAGTAGGCGCAGCGGTGCGAAGGAGGGCCGACGGCGGCTGTAAGGGAGGGCCCGCGGCGGGCCTTAACTAGCAGGCGCGGCGGCTGGAAGGCAGGGCCCGCGGCGGCTGTAAGGGAAGGCCCGCGGCGGGCCTTAACTAGCAGGCGCGGCGGCTGGAAGGCAGGGCCCGCGGCGGCTGTAGCAGGCGCGGCGGCTGTAAGGGAGGGCCCGCGGCGGCTGTAAGGGAGGGCCCGCGGCGGGCCTAACTAGCAAGCGCGGCGACGGGACTAGCGGGCCCGCGGCCGGGCCTAACGAGCAGGCGCGGCGGCGAGCGGTACGGGCAGGCGCGGCGACGAAATGCGGGGCACCGCGGCGACGAAATGCGGGGCACCGCGGCGACGAAACGCGGGGCGCCGCGGCGACGAAACGCGGGGCGCCGCGGCGACGAAACGCGGGGCGCCGCGGCGACGGAATACGGGGCGCCGCGGCGACGAAATACGGGGCGCCGCGGCGACGACGAGCGGGCGTTTAGGGCGGCGGGGGGAGGACGCAACGCGACGGGCAGGGTGGGAGGGCGCGTCACGACGAGCAGCGGGGGAGGGCGTGACGGGACGGGAAGCCGGGGAGAGCACGACGTGACGGGCAGGGGGGGGAAGGCGCTACGCTACGCGGAAAGCGGGTCGGCGGAGCGAGCGCTAACGAACGAGCGAGACTGGATCGGGCCGGCGCTAGGCTCGGGCAAGACGGGTACGACTAGTACGAGAGATCGAGACAGGCTCGGGCGGAACGAACGAGGACGAGAGGTGCAGGATCCCACAGGATCCTAATCTAGGTGATACCATGTCAAGAATGAAAGTGTTATTGATGAGGGTTGGGGTACGTATAGCAAACCCTAACATTTGTACCCCCTAAGACAAACCTCACTACAGGCTACAACATTTGACAGAAAATTACCTTATGAATTAGGGTTGGGACTACCTAGAACCCTAATCAGAAAGGCTGGCCCATATCCAATATAGAGCCTTGGGACTCGCTGTAGTATTGAGGTTGGGCGTCTTCGCCGATTTTTACGGAAGTTCAAGTGCGAAGAATTCCTGAGTAGTTACAATCATTAACAGGACTTAGTTATGGTTCGGCTCAGGGATGCTCGCAGGTAGAGTTGCATCGGAAGTGTTGACCTCATGTCAGAGTGAATGTGAAAGACTGAGATGATGACATCGTGTTTATATAAAAATAAGAGAGGAATGCGGAACGACCTAGTCTAGCCATGTACTCCAAGGGGTACATTCTCGTATTTCAACGAATTCAAACCGTGCCGCGCAGGTATGTTTCTGCATGCTTCGGTCTTGATCTGACGATTGCTGGTGTCACTTCGACTCTTCTGACTCCTCGACTTCTCTCTTGGTAGAGTCGGCTCCTGCAGCGTACAGAAATGATATCTTATCAAAGTTTGTATCTCGACATAAACCATTGGAGTTTGTTTGGTCGTCATATTTGAAACGTCAGCCTTTTTAACGCATGATTAGTCAATTCACCAAATCACTAGAACAATAAGCTCGGCCGTCACGATCTCAACCCCGTTGAATGGGCCTTAAAGCAGCAGTATACATTTGACAGTACTGTTTGAGGATCTACAGTAGGCAAGGCGTTTTCGCCAAAACGAAAACAAAATATTGGCGAGAGGGTTGGCGAAAATCTGAAGCGGGGAGCCAGGGTTGGGTTGGGGGGTCACAACAAAATGGGAAAATCTCCCGTCACCAAGCTACGTGGCTACTCTCACACACTTGGCGATTGAATCAGCGACTACTAGTAATTTCCGCGATATAACTAACCATGCTGGGCTTTAGGGTGCTATACCAATAGCGCGACATCTCACATGGTCGGCTGGGAGTATCTACACATGTACAGATTAGGCTACGCCTCGAAAACGACCATCAATCGAGCCCCGCATCTCCCTTTCGGTTTGCCCCGCCGCTTTGCATTCGGACTGCCGCCGCGTAGCATTCGCCGAGCCCGCAATGTATGCGGCGCGCCCGTCGTAACCTATTTCCTAGGCGCCACGGCTAGTCGCATTCGGCGGGATCGCTGCAATGCAATCGTTGCATTCAAAATCGCTAAATTTGGTAAGGCAACTGTCTGCCCACCTTCCTGCCCCGCCGCGTTGCCCTCGGCGGGCTCAACGCGTTCAGGCCGACGAGCTTAGCGGCTCACCCGCTTACCGCGTCACCCGCTGCTCGCCTCATCTGCTTAGCGCGTCACCCGCTTAGCGCGTCACCCGCTTAGCGCGTCACTCGCTTAGCGCCCCTCTGTCCCCTCCTTTCCTCCCCTGCATTCCCTCCTTTCCCCCCCTTGCTTCTCCTCCTTTCCCCCCTTACTTCCCCTCCTTCCCCCCCCCCCGATTCCCCTCCTTTCCGCCCCTGCTTCCCCTCCTTTCCCCCCCTTGCTTCCCCTCCTTTCCCCCCCTGCGTTCCCTCCTTTCCCCCCTTTGCTTCCCCTCCTTTCCGCCCCTGCATTCCCTCCTTTTCCCCCCCTTGCTTCCCCTCCTTTTCCCCCCCTTGCTTCCCCTCCTTCCCCCCCCCCCCCCTTGATTCCCCTCCTTTCCCCCCCTGCATTCCCTCCTTTTCCCCCCCTTGCTTCCCCTACTTTCCCCCCCTTGCTTCTCCTCCTTTCCCCCCTTGCTTCCCCTCCTCCCCCCCCCCTGATTCCCCTCCTTTCCCCCCCTTGCATTCCCTCCTTTCCCCCACCCAATCCCTTCCTTTCTCCCCCTTGCGTCCCCTCCTTTCCCCCACCCCCCCTGTATCCCCTCCTTTCCCCCCCTGCATCCCCTCCTTGCCCACCCTGCTTTTCCCCCTTTCCGCCCCTACTTTCCTCCTTTTCCCCCCTTGTTTCCCCTCCTTTCCCTCCGACACCCCCCCCCTTGTATCCCCTCCTCTCCCCCCCGTGCTTCCCCTGCTTTCCGCCGCTGCTTCGCCTCCTTTCCCCCACTGCATCCCTCATTTCCCCCACTGCATCCCTCATTTACCCCACTGCATCCCTCCTTTCCCATACTGCATCCCTCCTTTCCCCCACTGCATCCCTCCTTGTTCCCCACTGCATCCCTCCTTTCCCCCACTGCATCCCTCATTTCCCCCACTGCATCCCTCATTTACCCCACTGCATCCCTCCTTTCCCATACTGCATCCCTCCTTTCCCCCACTGCATCCCTCCTTGTTCCCCACTGCATCCCTCCTTTCCCCCACTGCATCTCTCCTTTCCCCCACTGAATCCCTCCTTTCCCCCACTGCATCCCTCCTTTCCCCCACTGCATCCCTCCTTTCCCCCACTGCATCCCTCCTTTCCCCCACTGCATCCCTCCTTTCCCCCACTGCATCCCTCCTTTCCCCCACTGCATCCCTCCTTTCCCCCACTGCATCCCTCCTTTCCCCCACTGCATCCCTCCTTTCCCCCACTGCATCCCTCCTTTCCCCCACTGCATCCCTCCTTTCCCCCACTGCATCCCTCCTTTCCCCCACTGCATCCCTCCTTTCCTCCACTGCATCCCTCCTTTCCCCCACTGCATCCCTCCTTTCCCCCACTGCATCCCTCCTTTCCCCCACTGCATCCCTCCTTTCCCCCCTGCTAGCACATCGTTCCCGCCTGACTTGAGGTCACTCCTCCCCACCCTTCCTTCCGATCTCTCCTGCCTTACACGCCATCTCATGTCTCTTCCTTCCCAACACCCTCATGTTCCTCACCATTTACCCTCTTCGCCTTCGCTTTTCCAGGCCCTTCCATCCCATCCCCCCTCTCGTCCCTTTCATCTCCCTGCCAACACACCTGTCAAGACACTGGCGTATGCGCTGCAAGTGGTGCAGGCACTGGCAGGGTGTGAGGCGCGGTGAGTCAGAGCGGTGGTGGTGTTGCCCACTCGAGACCAACTCACACCTACCTCAGCTCACTTTCCCAGCCGATGTTTAACCATCAACCTTCCTCTCCCACCATTGCCCCACAGACTAACTTGTCTTTTTGCCCAACACACAATCCCGCTCTCCCCCTCTCCCTCTCTCGCCCTCCTCGCCCACGACCGTGCCATTCTGCCTACTCCAGCAGGTGAAGCACGTGTTTGACACCATGGCGCCATCTGTCGGCCTCTCAGTGGATCCCATCAACGGCCAATCATCACTCGCTGACGAGGCAATCCACCTGAGGGGCCCTTCACATCTCCACTCCCTGCCGTCACATCTCCACTCCCTGCCGTCACATTTCCACTCCCTGCCTTCACATTTCCACTCCCTGCCTTCACATCTCCACTCCCTGCCTTCACATCTCCACTCCCTGCCGTCACATCTCCACTCCCTGCCTTCACATTTCCACTCCCTGCCTTCACATTTCCACTCCCTGCCTTCACATCTCCACTCCCTGCCTTCACATCTCCACTCCCTGCCTTCACATCTCCACTCCCTGCCTTCACATCTCCACTCCCTGCCTTCACATCTCCACTCCCTGCCTTCACATCTCCACTCCCTGCCCTTCCCTTCTCCTGCCCCACCCTTCTCTTCCCGATCCCTTCTCCCTTCCCTTCCCTTGCATGCGCTCCCCTTCACCCTCACCCACTTTTCCCTTCTGCCCCCCGGTGCTTGTGCACATGGTTCCCTTGTACGCTTGCTTGTATTCAGGGTCTGTTTTTCCTCTTACGCCTCATAGCACGTCCCCACTGGGTCTTCACACAATCGTTTATGCCTACTCTGCTAATTGGTAGTGCTGAAACAGGGCAGCAGATGCAAACAAAGGCACAGCTTGTAGTGGATGGTGCTCAGAACTTTTGTATAGTCTAGTGTGCGTTGTACGGTATGAGTAGTGTGTTACTGCTAGAGATATTCGTCACAAAGCCCGCTATGTGCTACCACGATTTCAGCAGTGAAGATAATTCATCCAAGATGCATGGACAGTGAAGGTGTCACATCACATACAGGTAGAAAGAAATATGTTCTCGCTAAGTCGAATACAGTACTATTGACCTTTCTCTAGCTTATTTGACATGAGATGGTGTGAGGCGAGTTGAAGCATGAAGATCTTCAGAGCAGTTGGTCACTGAAATAGCCGGGGAGGGGGAGTATTTGATTCAACCATAGGCTGTGATACCGTATTACCCCGGATATAAGCGCACCTGCGCTTATAATAAAACAGTGTTTTTTTGGGGGGTGCGCTTATAATTGAGTAAAAAATTATAAGCGCATGCGCTTATAATATAACAAATACAAATATATATTTCAATGCACCAAATTGTACATCTCATCCTTCAGATTTCAATCGAATCGAAATTGTAGAAAGTCACATGTCAAAATCGCGCGCGGGCGATTCTTCGCGAGCGCCCAGAGGCAAAATACAGTGTAACACCTCACTTTGAGGGCGTGCCAGCTAGTGCTGACTGGACGCGCAGGATGTGAGAGGTCTTCGAAAGTCAATGTAAGCGAAAATGGGTTGTGGCCTCGCTGCAAAACTGAGATTCGTTACCGTTTTAATGAAGAATTATAAATAAAATTACACATGCGCTTATAATATATCAGGGTTTTATAAGGGGTGCGCTTATAATTGAGGATCGGCCATAAGCGCATTGCTCCAGATACAAGCGCATGCGCTTTTAATAGGCCTGCGCTTATATCCGGGGCCATACGGTAACAGAAGGGAGGAGGGGAAATGATGGGAATCAGGGGGGGAAATGAAGGGAGGCAGGAGGGAGCAGGGGAGAAGTAAGGAGAAGCAGGCTTTGGAAGGGTTTCGGGAGGATGCAGGGAGGGGAGATGGGGATGCAGGGAGGGGAGATGGGATGCAGGTGAGGAGATATGGGGATGCAGGGAGGAGAGATGGGGATGCAGGGAGGAGAGATGGGGAAACATGCAGTGGATATGGGGAAGCAAGAAGGGGAGAGAGGTATGCAGGGAGATGGGGATGCAGGGAGGGAAAGGGAAGAGGAGGGAAGAGATGGGGATGCGGGGTGGAGGGGTGAGGATGAAGAGGTCGGACGAAAGGGCAGAAATAGAGGAACTGAGAGGAAGGGGAGATGGGGAGGCGGGGTAGCGAGATGGTGAGGCGGGATGTGAAGAACAAAAGGGGGAGAAACAAAAGATGCGCAGAGAGGGTTGGCACTGATGGGGGCAGTCCGGAGGGATGGAGGAGAAGGTAGGGGGGAGAGAGAAGGGAGGGAAGGGAGAGAAAGGAGGGAAGGGACGGAAAGGGAGGAAAGTGAGGAAAGGGAGGGAAGGGATAGAAGGTAGGGAAGGGAGGGAAGGGATAGAAGGTAGGGAAGGGAGGGAAGGGAGAGAATGGAGGGAAAGGAGAATTCGAACCGGGAGGCGATAGGAGCAGGAATGGGTAAGGCGGCGGAATGGGGATTGCGGCGCTAATGGCTTCGCGGTGAGGCAGCGAGAGGAGGCGTGGGGCGGCCTTAGGTGGCGTGTCTAAGGTGGCGTGGTCTAAGCGAGTGCGTACGAATGGGCAATTTGTTCGCGCATGCGCTTGAACAGCGTTACGCGGTTCAATAAATAATTCTGTCCCTAAATCCAGCGGTTAGGTAAGAACGTTGCCCATCTTAGGATCGTAAACGCCTTAGTCGGCAATAGTCTACTTGCTATTGCTTATCGTGTTCTCCACGATCTCCCGAATCCAATGATATGCGCAGCTCTGCTTGAAGTTGTCAATACACACTTCAGCAATTTTCAGAATCTCAATGTTGTCCAATGTTGTATTTCCAGAATGAGTACAAACAGTTTTATAGTCAGGCAAGACACAAAGTGCGATTCGTAACTTCACTTGTTTCCCAAGTAACCGCGTGCGCCTCGTTTCACCCCGAGTCGCACACGCAACCGAACCGAATTCGGTGAACACTCCGCAAGTCCGAATCCCGAACTTTCTCGAACGCGCCTTGGTCTCGAAGCACATTTTTCCCCTCGTCAATCTCATTCTCGATGCTTCTCCTTCTCTCTCCCTCCTTCTAGCACATTTCTTCTCGATTTCTCTCCCGCTTCTCACGCCGTAGCCTCTATTCCCCACCGTAGGCCGATTTCCACCGTTTCACACACGCGCTTCCATTTCGCCGTCATTCCGCCGTCGTAGATGCTTTCGCCTTAGGTTCCGTGGTTGGGCGAACCAACCCTAACAATCTCCCCTGTGGTTCGTCAACCACGAACACCACTCGCACTGCTCCCCTGCTCCTTGTAGCCTTCACAGGGTCTAAGTCGGCTTCACGCTCCCCTGCAGCTCCTGCACCTTGAACCTCTGCTTACGTGTCTTGTAGTTGAGCGCCTTGACATCCAAACCTTGAGAGATTTTCTTATGCCTCTCGCTTCTCCTCGGCATCTTTACACCCAACACCTCTCGGGTCTCGTACCCTTCAACGCGTTCATCCTCCTTAATCACTTGCCCCTTTGCAGTTGCATTCGCCTTTGATCCTTTCACCATGATGTTCCCTTTCACAGCTTCAACTCCCACACACTTCGCATTTACTGCTTCATCTTCAACCACGATCGCTGCTGCAAAAGTGTTGACATCGTCTCCATCTCCACCGTTTACTGTTGCTGCCTCCGTGATCACTATCTCCTCTTCCTGCTTCACTGCTGCCTCCACACTCGCAGCCATATCATCCGAGTCCTCACTCTCATCATCCTCAGTAGACTCAGGATCCTCATAGATCTCATCCTTATCGTTCATCGCGACCAAGTTCATCTCATAGAAACCGTCACTGAAATAACCATCCGCATACTTCTCCCACTCAGGACCAAACACAGTAACCTCACCACTGTCATAGAATATCTTGCACCCCAAGTCATCAAGCTGTGACTGACTGACCAAGTTCACCTTCAAATCCGCAACCAGCAACACACTCTCCAGTTTCACTACTCCATACGGACTCCGCAGCACCACATCACCCTCTCCTGTCACTGGTAACTTTCCACTGTTACCTTGCAGTATATAATCCTCACTCGACTCCCTCACATTCTCTATCCAATCTGACCTGAATGCCATGTGACGCGTGCATCCGCTGTCCATGAACCATGTCGTCTTCTCACGTCCGTCCGTCTGCCGAACCTCCATTGGTAAACGCACCACGTTCGCAAGATGCGCTCCTCCAAGGATCACATCATCTTCGTTCGCTTCTGCTACATTCGCCTTTGCCGCCACATTCCGCTGCTGCGACGGACCCTTGTAGCTCCTGCTATTCGGATTGGAGTAGCACTCTGCGGCACGATGCCCGTAGCGCCCACAATAATCACTTATAGTTTCTGCTTCGCGGGTTCTCGTAGCAATTTATCGCCTTATGCCCGCGCTTTCCACACTGGTAGCATGCTCCAAACGCCTTCGTGGCATTCACCAAAGCGGGCCTCTCCTCATCAAACTCCTTAGCTACTGCTGCTGCTTTCTTCTTTCTCATCTCCTTAACCGTCTCAAGCGACTGTAGAATCTCCTGCAGCTTCATCAAACTCTCCGGCGGTTGGTACGTAAACATACCGATGTGGGATTCCCACTCTTTAGGAAGGCCTTGGATGATATAGTCAATCATCTCATGCTCCGTCTCCGCGGCTCCCATCACCCGCAAATCGTCGTTGTAGCTTTTCGCCCTGTTGATGTAGTGTCAAAACATATTGTTATGTTCTTACTCTAGGTTGTGTAGGGTCACACCTTAGAGGGTACAACCCAACTCTCTCGACACTCTTGTACCCCCTCTCCCTCACCTAATCATCATTCCTCACCTAGCTACTAGTGATTCTAACATGGTATTAAGAGCACAATGCTCCTTAGGACCGAATGTTTAAAAGGGCCCACCACTACTATTTCGATCTACTGCCCGAGTCGCGCCCCTAGGAGAAACGCGAAATTCGAAACCATGCTCTAGGCGAGACGGTTCCTTTTTCTGCCCTAGACGCGATTTTCCTTCCTAGTCACGTGCGACCCCCCCTGACCGCGCCTTACCTGCCAGTACAGCCCGCGTAGGCCCGTCGCGAAGCCCGTACAGCCCGCGTAGGCCCGTCGCGAAGCCCGTACAGCCCGCGTAGGCCCGTCGCGAAGCCCGTACAGCCTGCGCCAGGCCGTCGCGCAGCCTGTACAGCCCACGTCAAGCCTGCACCCAGCTCGTAAAGCCCGCGCCAGGCCCGCACGCAGCCCTTACAGCCCGCGCCTGGCCTGCACGCGGCCCGTATTACTGCTGCACTCGCTGCTGCTGCTACACTGCTGCGCCTGAACTGCTGCTGCAGTGCTGCTGCCGCCTGTACTGCCCTGAAACTGCTGCTGCTACTTGCTGCAGCTGCTCCTCCTTGCTGCTGCTGCTGCTACTTGCTGCAGCTGCTCCTCCTTGCTACTGCTGCTACAGCTAGCGCTACTCACTGCTGCTGCTACTGAAGCTAGTGCTGCTACAGCTAGTGCTACTGCTGCTGCTGCTACTACCGCACTTGCTACAGCTGCTACTGACTGAAGCTACGGCTGCTACAGCTAGTGCTACTGCTGCAGCTCCTACTCCAACACTTGCTACAGCTACTATTGACTGAAGCTACTCCAGCTACAGCTAGTGCTACTGCTGCAGCTCCTACTCCAGCACTTACTGCAGCTGCTCCTGACTGAAGTTACTGCTGCTACAGCTAGTACTACTGCTGCAGCTCCTACTACTTCACTTGCTACAGCTAGTGCTACTGCTGCAGCTCCTACTCCAGCACTTGCTACAGCTGCTCCTGACTGAAGCTACTGCTGCTTGACTGAAGCTACTGCTGCTACAGCTAGTACTACTGCTGCAGCTCCTACTACTGCACTTGCTACAGCTAGTGCTACTGCTGCTCTGCCACTGTGTCCGAGCCGCGCCGCCCAGCCCGAGCTGTCACTGCTGCTGCTACTGCAACTACTACTGCTACAGCTAGTGCTACTCGGTCTACTGCTGCTGCTGCTGCTGCTCGGTCTGCTGCTGCTGCCCGAGCCTCCCTGCTACTGCTGCTACTGGAGGGAGTACTGCTGGGAGTGGTGGAGGTGCGGCCTCCCACCCCCACCGAACCGCCCTGCTGCTGTTACTACTGCTGCTGCTGCTACTTGTGCTACTGGGAGTGGAGGAGGTGCTGCTGGGAGTGTAGGAGGTGCTGCTGGCGCTGTAGGAGCTGGAGGTGCTGGACCTACTCCTGACAGTCACTGTCTGTCATGGCCACTTCCGCGGCAGTCGCTGCGGCCAGGGGTGGACAGCAGAGGGCACTGCTTCTCCCGGACGACCCCACCCCTCGGCAGCTTCGTGAGTGGGTTATTCAGCGAGGTCGTCCTGGTGGTGGAGGTTATCGTTCTGTTAAGACCGCTGCTCTTGGTGTTAGTGAGTCTGCTGCCACTCTAGGTGTTAGTCAGTCTGCTGCCACTCCAGGTGTTAGTGAGTCTGCTGCAGCTCTAGGTGCCCGTGAGTCTACCGACGCTCTAGTTGCTAGTGCGTCTACTACCACAGGTCCTGCCTCAGCTGAGGTCTTGCACACTTTCACGCTTGACTCCGGCGCGTCACGTTGCTTCTTCCGTGATTGCACCACAGTCACACCACTCACAGCACCTGTCCCAGTCTCACTGGCTGACCCCTCTGGGGGCCCAGTGGTTGCGAGAGCCTCCACGGTCCTCCCTTGTCCAGCAGTCCCCTCCGGCTCTTTGTCAGGTCTCCACCTCCCCACGTTCTCGACGAACTTGGTGAGCAACGCTGCCATTCAGGATGTCTGGGTTGATACCTTTATTCCTGGAGGGCAGCGTGTGGCGATCTGTACGTGCTCCCGGACTGGCCGTCACCTGGCTACGTTCACTCGACAGCCTGGGTCTAGTCTGTACACACTGACCACTGCGTCTGCACAGGTGGCTGAGTCAGGTCAGGTAGCTACGTCGAGTCGAGCGTCTGCGTCTGGACAGTTAGCTGCGTCTTGCTGATGCCGAGTACTCACGCACGAGACTCAGCGCTGGCACCACCGTCTTGGTCACCCCTCCCTGCAGCGTCTGCGCCGCATGCACTCCCGGCTCCTGGTCACTGGCCTCCCTGAGACCCTGCCCCCCCTCCCGCGCTCACTTGCGCCGCCGTGCCTTCCTTGCGTCGAGGGGCGGCAGCGCGCCGCTCCTCACTCCTCCGAGTTTCCTCCGACCACTGCTCCTCTGCAGACTCTCCTCATGGACGTGTGGGGCCCGGCCCCCGTCGGTGGAACGGACCAGGAGCGCTACTTCCTGCTGGTGGTTGACGACTACACACGCTACACCACAGTCTTCCCCTTGCGGCGCAAGGCGGATGTCAGTGGTGTCTTGATCCCCTGGATCCGTGCTACTCGTCACCAGCTGCGCGAGCGGTTTCGGCGGGACTTTCCAGTCCTGCGTCTGCACTCTGACAGGGGTGGTGAGTTCTCCTCTGGCGTCCTTGAGACGTTCTGCCAGGATAAGGGCATCGCCCAGTCGTTCACGCTTCCGACCTCTCCGCAGCAAAATGGGATCGCTGAGCGTCGCATTGGCCTGATCATGGAGGTTGCTCGTACCTCCATGATCCATGCGGCTGCTCCCCATTTCCTGTGGCCGTTGGCGGTCCGATACGCCGCGCATCAGCTCAACCTCTGGCCCCGTGTCTCTGCTCCAGAGACCTCGCCCACACTCCGTTGGACGGGACAGCCTGGTCATGCGTCGTCGTTTCGGGTCTGGGGCGCGCTCTCCCTTGTTCGCGATACCAAAGCGAGCAAGCTCTCCCCTCGCACTCTCCGCTGTGTCTTCCTCGGCTTCCCCACCGACACTCCACCCTGGCAGTTCTACTACCCTGCCTCGCGTCGTGTTCTGTCCTCTCAAGACGTCACCTTCGACGAGTCGGTCTGTTACTACCGACTTCACCCGCACGCGTCCCACCCGGTCCCTCTCGCGCCTCTCTTCCTGGTACCAGTCCCCCCCCCGGTGGACCCCCTTCCCCCACAGGGTCCTGCTCCCTCAGGTGTGTCCCAGGTAGACCCACCCCCCTTGGATGAATGACTCCTCTGACTCACCTGAGGGGGGTGACGCCGTCGCTGACGACACGGCGACCACTCGCCGCACTCCTCGCTTGGAGACCCCCCCGGGTTTCCCGCCACGGCCGTCTTCGCCGCCTCCGCAGCCTGCTGCTGTGGACTCTGGAGCTGAGACTACTGGAGCTGGGGCTGGGGGTGGTGAGTCCGGGGGTGCTCGCTCTCCTTGTCTGGCTACACCCCCCGGGTTCCCACCTCTGCCGTCTTCACCGCCTCTGCAGCCTGCTGCTGTGGACACTGGAGCAGAGACTGAGGGTACTGAGCCTGGGGGTGCTGGGACTGAGGGTACTGAGCCTGGGGGTGCTGGGACTGAGGGTACTGGACCTGAGGGTGCTGCGACTGAGGGTACTGAGCCTGCGAGTGCTGAGACCGAGGGTCCTGCCTCTGGGGGTACTACGAGTTCGGGTGCTGACTCTGGGGGTGCTGCGAGTCCTTCTGGTGTTGGTGTCGTCGGAGCTCCTATCGGAGGACCTGGAGCTACTGGTGCGGGAGGTACTGGAGGTACTGCTGGTGCTGGAGGTCCTGGAGGTGCTGCTGGTGCTGGAGGTCCTGGAGGTGCTGGAGGTACTGGAGGTGCTGCTGGTGCTGGAGGTCGGGGAGCTGCAGGTGATGATTTTCTCGCCTTTCTCCATGCTCAGCATCAGCAGTTGCTTCCTAATCGCCTTCTTGTTGACATCGTTCGTACCCATGTATGTGGACTCCAGGTACTCCCACGCTCGCTGTGCAAGGTTCAGCTCCCCTGCAAACTGGTCCAAATCCACCGCGATTCCATCGGCAACTGAATGACAAAGCTGAAAGAAAGCTTGCTTACTTTGCTTTTTGAACGCCGCTATTTTCTCCTTCGTATCCGTCGTGGAAGGCGCAACTCCCTCCATCGTCTCCTCGTCGGGACGGTAGTACGGCAAGAGGTCCACCTCCTCTGCCCTTCGAATGAACTTCTTTCGCCACACGTTGTAGTTGCTTCCATTGAAGCGCTGAGCTTCACTGAGCCCGATCGTCGGTTTCGCCACCAATCGGCCACTCGCAAGGGCCTCGAGAAGAGCCTTCAACTGCGGGTCCCCAAGACTCACACTGGAACCCGAACTCGCCTCGTCTCCCATAGCGTAGGCGTGAACGACTCCTCTTCTCCTCTAATTTCACTTAGCGCACCAAGTGAATTCGCGACGATCGACGAGCCCGTTCGTCAAGCTCTGATACCAGTTCTTAGGATCGTAAACGCCTTAGTCGGCAATAGTCTACTTGCTATTGCTTATCGTGTTCTCCACGATCTCCCGAATCCAATGATATGCGCAGCTCTGCTTGAAGTTGTCAATACACACTTCAGCAATTTTCAGAATCTCAATGTTGTCCAATGTTGTATTTCCAGAATGAGTACAAACAGTTTTATAGTCAGGCAAGACACAAAGTGCGATTCGTAACTTCACTTGTTTCCCAAGTAACCGCGTGCGCCTCGTTTCACCCCGAGTCGCACACGCAACCGAACCGAATTCGGTGAACACTCCACAAGTCCGAATCCCGAACTTTCTCGAACGCGCCTTGGTCTCGAAGCACATTTTTCCCCTCGTCAATCTCATTCTCGATGCTTCTCCTTCTCTCTCCCTCCTTCTAGCACATTTCTTCTCGATTTCTCTCCCGCTTCTCACGCCGTAGCCTCTATTCCCCACCGTAGGCCGATTTCCACCGTTTCACACACGCGCTTCCATTTCGCCGTCATTCCGCCGTCGTAGATGCTTTCGCCTTAGGTTCCGTGGTTGGGCGAACCAACCCTAACAGCCTAGTCTATGGAGAATCAGCTACCGAAGTAGGAGCTTGTGGGCTATCCTCTCACTAGTGCAGTTTCAGTTTCCTTTTGCAATCCCTTAGGTTTTGAACTGTGGGTGCGGGGAGCCAGACGTGGGGCGTTTGGGGACTAGATTCGGTTGTGAAGCGGGGGGTTGGGGTTGTAATCGCGTAACCAGTTTTTTCAAGTTCCTAAGGTTTTTGAAACCCCTGCTTGCAAAAGTATACTGTTGCTTTAAAGGCCGACATTCGAATTGCTCAACGGAAGTCAACGTCTTCGGAAAAACAGGAAGTTGGGAGGCTCGGAAAACTTCCGAAACCCTTTTTACCGTGAACCTTGTAGGGGCGAGTCGCAAACTGGGCCCAGTTCGTGAAGGCTTCTTTGTAATTCAGTGGCTGGAGGGATATTGGCACTGTGTAAGTTAAAACAGGTATCTTAGTTAGAAGATTGGACCTAAGAGGGGAAATTTTAATGGAACGCTTGTATAGAGATGCTCCAGCTCTTAGGGGGGTCCTTGCATCTGACTCCTCGGAGGTCGTGGGGCCGCCAACTGTTGATTGATGGCGTTCCAAATTACCCAGTGGATTCTCGCTGCCCAGTTCTGATCGGCTCCAGATCTGCGTGTTCTTCAACCGTCCACGTGTATTTCAGTACAGTACAAGCTGCATCTACCTTTGGCACTTGTATCGAATCTCTTCCCTCTTCCAGACGCACCGAATGGATGGTGGTGGCGAGGTGGGTGAAGTTATCAGGTCAGGTCGGGAGGGACTTCATAATAGTATGAGGTGATCAAGCAAGTGTATGAGAGTGGGAGGTTGGAGGACGCTACAGGAGCGGGAGGCTTTCATGTCTGTTCCCCCAAAAAGCCTGACGAGGTGGAGATTTTTGGAAGGATCATTATGAGCAGATAAAGGTCTCTTTCCCGAATGAGCAGTGGAGGAGCTACGTCGCGTGCGACAAGCGCCGCCTTTGGTGTCAGTCCGTAGGTATTATTTTCCTGAGGTCTTTTTGCTTTCATAGGTCCACCTGCGCTGTAGGGTGCATAGCTGTGTACAGAAGTGATGCGCAGCTTTGGAATTGGCATGATTGGCAGAGCCCATCGCCACTGCCACTTCCAAGTGGCGTTACGTGAGCTCAGCCATGTAGTGCAGCTGTCGCCTCTCGCGCCTTCACTCGCACGTGCACACCAAGTCCACCCATCCATTTGCAGCCATGGCTCAGGCTTCGATCTATTTGAGCAGCCCAGGAGGACACACTATCCATCAACTTTGAAGTTCCCCCTACCAGTGTGGCTCGGGGTTTTTTAGACGGCGCGAGTTTTCAAGAGCGTTTTCTCTGTGGAAACAATACAGTCACGTAGCCACATAGCTATTCTAAGGCGCAATAGTTGCCTATGGATCTTGGCGCAAGCGTGTATGCCGAGAAATCTCGGTTTTCTAATGTGAATCGCCGGCTTGAAGCTTGGAATCGTGCGACCGGCTCACTCAAACCTGCCGTTCAGGCATCACCTGGTGTCTCGCAGCGGCGCAGCTTTGAAGTGCTGCCCAATCTCAAGGACCCGCCAACGAATTCGAGTGTCTCACGGCGAGTTTCCACCCTCGAAAAGCAGCGTCGGGGATCAATCGCACTACTTCCCCCGCAGAAAGTCACTCCCGGATTTAGCGGCTGCTGGCAGTGATCCGTGGTCTCCGTGCTCGCCTCTGGACCACCAACGTACCGCCTCAAGCCCCTCCTCCGAATGCTCTTCACACGCTGCTCTCCCTGTGACTGATTCGGTTATGATGAGAGAGCAGGAGCAGACATGCTGCTTGAGGAAGCGACATGTCCTTTCCTGTGGGAGAGCCATCTGCAGCACAACGGATGATGCAGCTGACACGGCATGTGCGAGGTGTTGCGATGCCGCTTCCCAGTGCGGATTTGATGGCGATGCAAGAAAGCTGATCCAGCTGCTGCAAGAGCAGATGAACATTGCTCAGAGACGCGGGTTTTCTGTTTCGTGCTTGGAGGACTCAGCAGGCACAAGAGGGGGAGACAAGAGAGTGGCCAGGCGAGGAGGTAGCGGTGGTGGCATTGAGAGTAGGAGCAGCACTGGTGGTGGCATTGAGAGTAGGAGCAGCACTGCCGTGTCTCCATTGTATAAAATAATGTCCACAGCTCCACCTGTGTTTGTATGGGCGGCTCAAAGGCGGATAGAACGAAGGGCCTTGCAAAGTTGAAATGTACATGCATGCGCAACATCTATGAAATATCTGGTTAACCAGCCCGCGATTGAACATCTATGTCAAGGACAAATATAATTGCGAATTGTGTGTGTGGACTGTGCTGGCAAATATCTGCTGCCCTGGTGTATGAAATCAGCCCACCCCTCATGAAAAACACTTTGTGTACCTACCACCAGCCTTATCCCCTTGGGTGGCTTGGCTTGAGTTGAGGGGAGGGAGTGGCACTTACCGTATTATCATCCCCCCACCTCTCTCCCTCCCCCCCCCCCTCCACCACACCCCCCCCCCCACCCCACCCCACCCAACCAGGGCTGACTTTTCAAATTTAGGTACCCTGATTTCAACCTAAAAAAAAAAAAATTACCCTGAAGGCACATTTTCCAGAAAAACAGCACCCTGATTGCTCAGGGTTGAGAAGTAGTGAACTCTGAATGTTCAGGGTCGAGAATTGAAAATCAGGGTCGTAGTAACGCGCGCTTTCTTTACCGAGGACAGTAGATGGTGGGTGTATGGGAATGAAACTTCGAAGAAACTTCGTCTCGATAAAGCGAGGTGGGGGGGGGGGAGGATTACGCACGTGGGGGGCACTGAAATCAATGCGAAGGGGTTCTCAGGAGGAAAATTCCGAGAAACTTCGCCCCGATAACATCGCATTCAGGGTCCACAGGCCTCGTACTCTGTATTGACAGGGTCCGTGAAAACCCTACACTGAGAGTGTACACAAAATTTCAGGGTCCGCTAAAGCAATACTCTGAATGGATCAGGGACCAAAATGTGAAAAACCTGATTTCTCAGGGTCCAGAAAGTGACAAGTCTGAAATCACCCTGAAATCAGGGTAATTACCCTGATAAAATCAGCCCTGCACCCAACCCCATGTACCGAAGGACCCGATAGGGACTTTCTTGAGGTACTGATATGAATCGCGACAGAGTGTTTACAATTACGTTGAAAATACGTGCATCCAAACAACAATGTTGACTAGTTGCGACAGTCAGCGATGACCACCATCGGGAGGCTACGTGCGGTACTGGCACCCTCCATCCTTTTCATAAGGCCATGCTAAGCTACAATTTCCGTGCACCCTCCACCCCATGCGGCCACATCACCCACCCGGCTCATCTCTGCTGTGAACCCCGTGGCCTCTTTCCATTGGCTGCTTTGAATCGGCTCATCTCATCAGAGCGAGGCCCGTACACATCAGCGATGGATACGCGGCAGAAACTGGAAGGGGCGGGGGAGGCGTGTGGGGGGTTGGGGTGGTGTGAGTGAAGCAGAGAAGAATGATTCAGGAGCAGTAAGAAGTCGCAGCATGAATGAGCGTGAAGCAAGGGGTAGTGAGGAGGGGCATCAGCAAGGGGTTGTGTGTGCAGATAGCAAAACGAGAGCTTCACGTCCCCGGTGTCCACACAGTACCACCCCACATACCACCCGTGCTCCCAGCACACCTTCTCGCCATGGTTGCCAGTTGATGCGGTGCAATGCGGTACAGGTCCCAAAAAACGTCCGCCTCCACTCGGCAGAAGCGAGGGCGGGCTGGAGGCAGGGGCGATGGATGCACGTGCGTTTAGGGATGGGGGAAGGCAGGGGGTGCACGCATGGATCCTGCTGCACTGCCCATGGGGATTGACACGAGGATGCGTGCTGGCACACCACATCGCATACAGGGCGTGGCAGGCGATAATGCCAATGCAAGTGTGTTTACGCATCACTGCCATGCAGTCTGTGCTTGCTGCTTGCTGCATGGTGCGTGGTGCCCGCGGTGCATGCAGGGCAGCCATCTCACAGTCGTATATGCGGCATGTGCGAGTGCCCTTGTCGTAGTGCCGGCACCACCCGTCCGCCCCCACCATGCTGCGGTACACCTGCCACGCACGGCACCACAGAAATCCAACGCGCAACGCACGCAAGAGGGGGCGGAATGGGCGGAGGGAAGGAGCTGGGGAAGCGGGCAGTTTGGGGGGCGCGATGACACGGCGGGGCAGGAGAAGCGGACAAGAAGCGGTGCGATATCATCCAGGCACGAGCCCCTCACCGCCAGCTCGCTCGGGTCGCGCAGAATTGTCTCGATGGGCGGCGCCAGCTCGCCCTTATCCAGCTGGCAACACGCGCCGCACCGCTCGATGCACGCCCACCCCGCGATGCGCCCTCGCCCAATGCCCGCACCCTCGCTACTGTCGCCGCCGCCGCCACTTTTCTCTTGAAGCGGGCCTCCTGGTGCCGCACGGCTTGCCGCACGCACGGAGAGACGAGCGCCTCCCTGCTCCAACCCCCTGGCGTCAGCGGCCACGGACGAGGCTGCTGCAGCGGCGAGCGCGCGGGTACCGACGGAACGACACGCGCTAGTACTTGCGCGCTCGAGTGCGCCGACATTCAGCGACAAGCACACACCTTGTCGCAGCGCGCCAACTAGCGCGGCGGGCGCCATGCATGCACGTGTAGCAAAAGATCAGGGGTGGTGGTGGATAATGAAACATCAGTCGATGGGACACCCTTTTGTTGAAATTGTGGTGGGTTGTGAAGTCATGTCGCAAAAACTTGGGGAAAAATTAGATTACGATCAACCTACTATGGAGGTAGTCTCAAACTCAATCTCACTTCCGATTAGGGATTGTTACGAGTGCAATTGAGTGAACGAACGAGAATTGCACTATCGAAGCAAGAGTACAATGAGCGAAGGCATGAGCGAAGAATATATAGCGAAACTACAGTGGTAACGGTAATGGACTGTGGTTGTCGCGCGACGGGCCTGGGACTGAGGTTGGGAAAAAGTGTCGAAGCGGAGGCCCGGAGCGCGGGTTACCCGCCGAGCCGTGAGGTCGGGGTGCGATGTGCGAAGGTGGCGGGCAGATTAACATGCGAGGGTTGCGAGTGGTAACGGTGCTGACTGTGGTGCTACAGTGATGTACGCGTTGAGCAGGGATGCGAAGTAAGGAAAGGGAATTTTCCTTACACTACCCCCCCCCCTAAGGAGGTCCTCCTTACGAGAGTGCGTGTACATCCCTGAAATTTCGGCTGCGCAGATACTCGGTGAGGACGGGGTGGTTTTCGATTCTGTCCAGGAGAACCCAATTGTCTTCGGTGGGTGTACGGTCCTTCCAGCGGAGTAAGAACTCGATCCTTCGGGCTCCTCGAGGGTCGCGAACTCTGTGACTCAGGATTTTTTCGGGGGTGATGATTGGTTCAGTTGGTGGTCTTGTCATGCTGGTTGGGCGATTGCGTGGCAGTTGGCTCGTGGACGGGACGTAAGGGCGAAGTAGGCTGACGTGGAATGAGGGGCTGACGTACCAGTCAGCAGGGAGGAGGAGGTGGGCGGTGACGGGTGTAAGCATGTGGCTTATGCGAAATGGCCCGCAGTATCGGGGGCGGAGTTTCGGAGTGATGGGCAGTCGGAGGTTCTGAGTGTCAAGTAAAACTAAGTCGTCGGGCTGGTAAGTGACAGGTCTGCGGTGGCGGTCGGCGTTGCGTTTAGCGATGATGTTCGATTTTTTTATTGCGTCTACTGCCCGGGTCCGTGCTGCTTGTAATATTTCGGCGAACTGTTGTGCTTGTGGTACTGGGTTGTCGGGATTCGGGGTCATGGGTACTGTTGGGTCTTGTCCGTAGTTTAGGTAAAATGGTGACTGTTGGGTCGTGGCGGATGGCGAGTTGTTGTACGCGAATTCGATTAGTGGCAGTTGCTGTTCCCACGTGGTCGGGTTGTCAAACTTATATGATCTAGCCTGTGTAGGCTGTAGCGGGTTAGATACTAAGGGGTACACAATTCTAGGGTCTCATTTGTATCACTTTCATTCCTTAGTCAATCCATTCTCGTTCTAAGTTTCTCATGGTATCGAGCAGGTTCCCTCGTGGGAACTGTTCCTAGGGCCCACCAAGATTTTTTTTTCCTACCCGGGGCGCGTGCCGCCCCTGCCCGAAGCGCGCCTAGTGTCCCGCCCTTAGCGACCCGTCGCGCCCTTCTTAGCGGCCCCTCAGGCCCCGTCGCTGCCCTCTCTAGGCCCCGCGTGGCCCCTTAGCGGCCCCGTCGCCGCCCCTTACGGCCCCGCGACCGCCTCTTACGGCCCCGCGACCGCCCCTTACGGCCCCGTCGCCGCCCCTCACGGCCCCGCGACCGCCCCTTACGGCCCCGTCGCCGCCCCTTAAGGCCCCGTCGCCGCCCCTTACGGCCCCGTCGCCGCCCCTTACGGCCCCGTCGCCGCCCCTTTCGGCCCCGTCGCCGCCGAGCCGCGACCCCGTAGCCGCCCTTAGCGGCCCCGTCGCCGTCCCCCCCTCCCCTCGGCCTCGTCGCCGCCCTTCAGCGGCCACGTCGCCGCCCCTCCGCGGCCCCGTCGCCGCCCTTCAGCGGCCCCATTGCCGCCCTTCCGCGGCCCCGTCGCCGCCCTTTCGCGGCCTCGTCGCCGCCCTTCAGCGGCCCCGTCGCCGCCCCTCAGCGGCCTCGTCGCCGCCCTTCAGCGGCCTCGTTGCCGCCCCTTGCGGCCCCGTCGCCGCCCTTCGCGGCCCTGCCGCCCTTCCTCGGCCCCTCAGCCGCCCTTCCCGGCCCTGTCGAGCAGCCGAGCCGCCGTCACCGCCGAGCCGCCGAGCCGCCCTTGCCGCCGTGCCGCCGAGCTGCCGAGCCGCCGAGCCGCCGAGCTGCCGAGCCGCCGAGCCGCCGAGCTGCCGAGCCGCCGAGCCGCCGAGCCGCCCTGCAGCCGAGCCGCCGAGCCGCCGAGCCGCCACGCCGCCGCAGCCGAGACGCCGCAGTCCCTGCCGTCGCGGCCCTGTCCCTGCCGGCCTGCCTCGGCCCGCCCCACCTGCCTGGTAAGAGCAGCGCCTCTGCCACTGCACTGCCCTACCCCGCTGCTCTCTCTGCCAGTCTACTGCTGTCATGGCCACCCCCAGTGTTCTCACCTTTGACGCTGAGGGTCGGGTTGTTGACTTTGAGGTCTGGGTAGATGATCTGCAGCTTTTCCTACAGTGCGATAGGGCAGACGGTCTCTCTCTGTTTGACCTCACCTCTGGTGCCTCTCCTGCCCCTGCTGCTGATGCTGACGCCACTGTTCGCTCACAGTGGGCCACGCGCGATGCTGCTGCTCGCCTTGCTGTGCGCCGCCACTTACCGACCGCTGAGCGCGCGCATTTTAGTCAGTACAAGAGTGCTAAGACCTTGTACGACGCTGTAGTTGCACGCTACTCTTCCCCTGCCACTGCTGCCCTTAGCCGCCTCATACTGCCGTACCTCTTCCCTGACCTCGCCGCTTTTCCCACAGTCGCTGACCTCATTACGCACCTTCGCACTAGTGACATTCGCTACCGCGCTGCGCTTCCTGCTGAGTTCTGCGCCAAGAACCCCCCCCCTATGTACATCACCCTCTACTACATAGTCACCCGGCTCCCTGACACCCTTCACTCGGTAAGGGACCACTTCCTCTCTGTTTGCCCCACCACCCTCACCGTTGACCTCCTCGAGGAGCGCCTCCTAGCAGCAGAAAAGAGTATAGTCGCTGTAGGAGCCTCTCGTGGTGACCCTCGTACCCCTGTCTTTGAGGGGTGCTCCCCCTCCCCCCTCTTGCCCTCTGTTGCCTCTGCTGCTGCGGCCGACCTCGTTGGTCTTGAGTCGGTCGGCGCGGCGTCTGCCCCTAGCGGGAGACGCCGCTCAGGCAAGGGCAAGGGGGGCAAGGGCGCTGGAGGAGCTGGCGGGGGCGGTGGAGGCGGCGGTGGAGGCGGCGGAGGGGGTGGGGGTGGCGGTGGGAGTGGTGGCGGGAGTGGGGGCACTAGTGGCGGCAGTGGAGGCGGAGGAGGCGGCGGTGGTGGCGGTGCGAGCGGAGGTGGTGGAGGTGGAGGCGGTGGTGGAGGTAGCGGCGGCGGAGGTGGAGCTGGTCGGGGCGGCTCTTCGCAGAGGGTCGGCTCCGGTGGTGGTCAGCGCCAGCAGCAGCAGCAGCAGCGCTCTCGTGAGACCCCTTCCCCCCAGCAGCTTCGTGAGTGGTACACTGCTCGTCAGCGGGGTGGGGGTGCTGGCCCCTGTACCTACGTTCTACGTACAGGCGACCGCACGGGTGAGCAGTGTGGGGGTCCGCACTCCACCCAGCGCTGCTTCGGCCGCCTGACGGACGCTTGGCGTCATCAGTTCCCCGACGCTACTGAGATCCCTCGCTGGGGCGAGCTGTTTAGGGCGGGTGTTGCGATCTTTGATCTTGATTATGATGCTATTCTTGCTGCAATGTATGCTGTGACTATTAGTGATGAGGGTGACTGTTACCGGTGTTTTCCGCCTGACCCGGGCATTGAGGCTGCTGCTCTAGGTGCTGGTGAGGCTGCTGCTCTAGGTGCCAGTGAGCCTGCTGCCCCAGGTGCTGGTGAGTCTGCGCTCTCAGGTACCGCGTCGGCTCCGGCCACCCACACCTTCACCCTTGACTCGGGTGCTTCCCGCTCCTTCTTTCGAGACCGCACCACGCTTACACCGCTTAGTCGGCCAGTGGTAGTCTCCCTGGCAGACCCCTCTGGGGGTCCTGTCCTTGCCCACTTCTCCACTGTTCTACCGTGTCCGGCGGCCCCTTCTGGCACCCTGTCGGGTCTTTACCTCCCCTCGTTCTCTACGAACTTGGTGAGTGGTGCTGACCTCCAGGATGGAGGGGTTCACCAGTTCACTCCTGCGAGTCAGCGAGTGACCCACTGTACCTGTGCTCGGACGGGCCGTCACTTGGCCACGTTTACCCGTCACCCGGGGCCGAGCCTGTACACACTGACTACTGAGTCTCCTCCGGTCGCTGAGTCTGCTCAGGTAGCCGCGTCGGGTCAGGTGTTTGCTGCGGCGTCCAGGTCTGGTCCTGAGTCTGCCCCCTGCTCGTGTCGTCTCCTGTCTCACCAGACTCTCCTCTGGCACCACCGCCTTGGTCACCCCTCCCTGCCTCGTCTTTGAGGCATGGCCTCCCGTGTCCTTGTCTCTGGTCTCCCCCGGTCCCTCCCTCCCCTTCCTCCGGGGCCTGCCCCCACCTGCGTTCCCTGCGTCGAGGGGCGGCAGCGCGCTGCTCCTCACTCCTCCGAGTTTCCTCCGACAGAGGCTCCGCTGCAGACGCTTCACATGGACGTGTGGGGCCCAGCCCGCGTCCGTGGACAGGGTCACGAGCGTTACTTCCTGCTTGTGGTTGACGACTACTCGCGTTACACCGCAGTCTTCCCCTTGCGCAGCAAGGGTGAGGTCACTGAGGTGTTGATCGCCTGGATCCGCGCAGCTCGTCTCCAGCTCAGAGAGAGTTTCGGCTCGGACTTTCCTGTTCTGCGTCTGCACTCTGACAGAGGCGGAGAGTTCTCCTCTGACCGTCTGCGAACCTTCTGTCGTGCACGAGGCATCCGCCAGACCTTCACGCTTCCGGACTCTCCGCAGCAAAATGGGATTGCTGAGCGCCGCATTGGCATGGTCATGGACGTCGCTCGTACGTCCATGGTCCATGC